GAATGTCAACTTGTGCCACATCAATTTGTGCCAGGAAGAAAGTAGTACGGTAGTACCTGTTGTTTGGACTACATGGTAGGCGAGGAATGGTATCCATGAAGGAAGCAATTTTAGATCCCTCCAGCGTTGGGAACTATTCCTTGATTGATTGACCTCCGAAACCACGGGCATGGTATTATCTGTTTTCCTTTCAGATTTGTAATATGTGAGTACAAAACAGAAAGACAGATAGCCAATTCCCATTGCTATCGCTGAAAACATAAATTTTAGTTTCCAAGGCCTTGATGATATCCCTATTGCAGTGCCCACACCTGAAATCCGGCCAATAACCTTCCAAAATTTTTCACGATCCTCAAGTATTTTCTCGTCATCTATGTCATGTTCCAACTTAATCTGGTGTTTTAGAAAGAAGGTTATGAATCTTACTCCTGTTTTGCCTACCGTTACTAATGATAGTACCGAGTAAATAGTTCTAATGTTTGATGATGGAGTAAGCCACAATGTCAGCAAACCCTGCAACAAGAATGGCAATCAGTTGCACTACTTCGTGTCATATTTAAGGCAAACGTGAAAGGAATAGGAAAAAAAACTCTATAAAAATGAGGGAAATTTCGTTTACCCCCTATGTGGTTTGGGTGGGTGCAACCCCATAACATAAAATATGTAGTTAGATTGTTATAAAGTTTGAAAATATATGTTTTTATCTTAAATTAAGAAAATATGCTTTTAACCTCCACAATTTGTGATTAGGAGAATATGTGCTTAATCTCTAAGTTTATTAATATTGAAAGTAAAATCCCAAATGCTCTTGTGGTTCAATGCTCTTAAGTGCATATTTTAAACCGCATAGGTGTTAAATCCGCCGCCCTCAAACTATATGGCCTAAGTGCAATTTCCCTATGGAATTATGAAGAATGAACTTACTGTGAGGAAAATTCCTTGAGTGATGAGAATAGATGTCTTGGGTAATATGCGTCCATACTCATCGTATAACACTGCAACACATATTAGAATCAGTCTAATGAGTTTTTTTTTTTTTTTTTTATCAGCAAAATGAATAGTATAATATTAATGCAGAGTACAAGGGGTACTTTAATGCATATACACAAATTAGGCTACAATTCTGCAGAATTGAGACTCACAAAACTAGGCCAACATCCGGTACCATGGCCACGTACTTATGCTGGACAGTGACCCACCCAGCAGCCCCATTATACCCTCCCCTTTTGGTGCAAATGAAACTCCCGCAGCAGCCTTTTATTATTTCGTATTTCTGCAGCAATTTCCAGCGGGTTGAACTTCAGTCCCCAAATGAGAAAACACATCCCTGCACTTTATTTTTTATCCAGAAAAAAATCTTGACCTGAATCATTTCCAATAACTCCTCCCTTGATGCCCCATTTCCCTTAAAATCTCTACAGTTCCTCCAAAACCATATATACCATGCAGTAACAAGAAAAATACAAGCTCCCATTTCCTTCCCTATCACCCTACCCAGCCCATATGCAAACAAATCCATTAAACCCCTTGTACATTTATCATAAAGCTTAAGGATTTAAATTTTAGTTAAAAATTTTATTCCCATTAATTATTTATACATTTATTCTTATTTTTCAGAATTTTTCATGTTTAAAAAAAATTAAAAATACCGTTAAAAAAATAGTTCAAATTAACCATTAATACATCAGCTCTATCAATTTGGGAGTCGACCTTTCAAGTCAATGATACGTGCTCCATTCTCTCTCTCCATGGATATTGTTAGTGTCTGGACTCTGGATGTTAAAAGAATAGCCGTCCCACAGGACGGACAGGACAATACGTTTCTAAAAGTAAAGGGTTAATAATGTAGAGGGAGGGGGCCAAGGGGCGGCTGATCAAATCAAATAATTTGATGTAACTATACGAGGAAGTGGTCCGCGGGAGGGTGCGAGCCAGATATTACCAGGTCTCAAATCTCTTGTCCTATTCCCTTGCTTTTTTTTTTTTTTTGAACGTGGGTTTGATTTCGAACCCTACACAGCCAAATTAAAGGCTTAATTCAATAATTAGTATGTTGATTATAACTTAATTTTATTTTAATTAAAAAAAATTTAAATAGTTTATAAATTTTAGAGAGTATTTTAAAATAATTTATTGTACAAAATTTTCATTAATTTTGACAAAAAAAAGTTGACTTGAAGTTAAAATAAAGTAGTCTTCTAAATTTTAAAAAAATGACATTATAATTTTAATAAAATATAATAACTTAAAAAATATTTTATAAAATCAAATTAGTTAAAAATTGTAATAAAATTAAGTAACTAACATAATTCGAAGAGAGAAACTTAACAAGTACATAATGAAAGATTTAAGAGTAAATCTTGAAAATACAATAAAAATTAGAACGCTTAACCACCAAGCAAGAACAAAGAAAAAATAAATAAATACATTAAAAAAAACTATTAATATACTTCTCTCAATATCAATAATAAACAAATAAATTAAATTAACATGTATTTACTCAATATATTAGGTAAAAATATAATCAATATAAAAGATACAATTATCATTAATAAAATTCTAGAAATAAAAACTATTAATAAAATATTTTAAGAAGAATTAAAGAAATGGGAAAATTCCTTTCTTAGGAGTTTAATTCTATTAAAGAAAAAAAAAATGAGGTCAAAAATTCTAGAGACTTGAAAGGAATAAAAGAAGAAATAAGGTATATCAAAAACTCAAAAAATTTGATATCTCGAGTCAAAGATATAAAAATTTAAATAAAAGAAATTCTTAAGATATTAAAAGTAGTTGCTAAAAATTATACTATAAAAACTTGAGAAGTATAATAGAATAATTTTACAACTAAAAAATGATATAGATAAGAATTTTTATAGAATCCAAACTTAACTTAAAATTTTACAAGATACTATAATATCAATCTACATAGACGAAATATTATAAATAGAAATGAATGATTTACAATAATCCCAAAGAATTTCACAAAAAAATCTAAATCGAAAGGAATAGCACTTTTTATGTTGAAAGAATTGAAAGAATTGAAAAAAATTCTTAGAAGAAGAAAATGTAGAAAAATTAGATAATTTGTATATCCAAATTACGATAACTACTAAACATCTAAAAAATATGAAGATGAATGCTGAAAGAGATGGAAAGGAGAAAATTGAAGAAGAAAGTAAAGAAGAAAAAGATGAGAAACAACCTAATATAACTCCAACAAAATTCCCCAGTACAACAATTAATAGAGTCTAGCACTAGTCAAAGTTATAGAAGGAATAGAAATCAGATACATGAAATATTATATGATAGAAAGAAATTTGAAAATCAATTTAGACTTGAAACCCCAATTAGAGTTAAAGAACAAATTATCAATACTAGTGGCATTTGGGTAGATCTAGATTGTGTTACAAATCCAAAAAAAGGTCAGTAGTGATTTTGCTCAAGCCACTTGGATAGCCATAGCCAACAAAAACTAGAATGCTTTATAATTAGTTAGATTTATTTAAGTCACCTTTAAAGGAATAGTTTATAACTAGTTTGCTAGTCTAAATGAGGAAGAAAGTAATACTATCGTAAGTGGAAATCTTGTTGCTGAAGAAGTAAATGAAAACGAAGTAGTTCAAGGCATAATAACTAGGTTTGAATCAGCTATAAAAAAATAATTTTTAGGGTAAATTTGGGAAGAAAATAAAAAAAGAAGCCACAATTAGTAGAATAGCAATATGGAATTTGCAAAATCTAGAATTATGCAATCTTTGTGAACTAGACCAATAAATTTGTTTATTTTAGAAATATTATTATAAAGCCTCAAATCATGAAATGGCTAAAGGTTTAAGAGAATTATTTTTGGAAAAATCCCTAATCCTTGGGAAATAAAGCTAGTAGAAGCCTATAGACTTGATTCTACTCTTACTAAACTTAACATACCAGCTACACATTAGTTTGTAGTCTAAGTTAGGTTTCGAAAACCCCAGAAAAAATTTTGGTGTCAAAACCATAAAACAATGTTGTTAAGAATGGAATTAAGAAAGTTAGTGAGATTTTATGATCAACAAATTTATATTGTAACAAACATTATAGCAAAAGAAGAAATGATACTCTAGAGAACTAATGAGTGATTGTGGGATAGATATGTCTATAAAGTTTGTAAAGTATTAGCTCTAGAAGAATTAAAAGATGGAAAATCACCTGCACACCCTCAGTTTAACACATTTTTTTGGCATACTTTTGGTTCAACTATTAAAAATATAATAAAAATACAATCACTTCAGTTGGTTTCTACATTCCATGTACATGATTGTATTTTTAAACTTTTTTGTCTTTAATTTCATATTAAAAAATAGTGATTTTTTAGTAAGTATGTTGTGTGGTGTGTTAAACCAAAATGTATACCAATCACTGTCAATAAAAACTATTTTTACAGTAAATATAAATTTAAGAATTAAAAGATCAAAACTAATATAGTTAGAAAACTAACTATTCTCTTATAAAATATTCTCTTATAAAAAAAGAAGATTTTTGTTAAAGATAACAGATTAAATGAAAGTAAAATAAATATGAAAGATAATAGACATGACTGAAAAAATTCAAAGATAATAGACCAAAGTAAAAAGAATATGAAAGTTAGTAGACAATTTATTAAATTAAGTTACCAAACTAATATGAGAAAGTCCCTAACAAGAGAAAGGTGTTCACAAAGACATCCTCATCCCATTCTCTGGCTGTTGAGTTTCTTTAGTTTTAGTAGTCTTCACACATTAATTTGAATATATATATATATATATATAATTATTTCATTAACATCATAAAATTTTATATTATTAAATTTAAAATTAAATAATTACAAATGTCATCAATTTCAAATTGAATATTTGTAATTTATATAAATAAAAACAATTATAAATATGTGCAAAAACTTTTTATTCTTACACATGTAAAAATATTAATACTTTTATTATATACACAAATAATGTCTAGAATAGGGTTTAATGTAGAACCAGTGAACATATAAGTATTTATAACATAAACACAACCATATTTAATACAGAGGGTCATATATACAAAGTTCACAAGAGAAGCTATATTATACAAGAATTAATTAAAATGAATCTTAACAATTAAGCACATCCATGACATAAGTAACCATAAACACTTACACAGCAGCACAAAATGAGAACATAATAATAACAGATCACTGTCATCAAAAGTGAAACCATTCACGGTCGTTTAGAACAAGTTTGTGAAGCAATGGTTATCAACTAGACTTTTCCTTCGCCCCCAAGCGTTCCTTGATGTACCTTAAAAAGCCATGGCATCTTTGGTACCTAGATATTTCATAATTCTTTATTATCTGCAATTAATGTAATTGAGTTTGAAAAGAGTGGAGAAAGAATTAAAAGAAAAATAGATAATTACCCTTTTACAATTGACCAGTAGTCTCTATTAACAGAAGGTCTTGAACTGTCCAAGTCTGGGCGTGCTGCTGGACTGAGGCTACCTTCTTCCAACTTCTTAAGATAGTCATCATGATCCTTTGTTTCTTTCTTCAAATAACAAGTATTGGATAGATATACGAACATAAGTAAGGCACATAAGCTCATAAATGCCAATGTTCGAAAGTATTTGTCTAAATGGCTATTGTTGACAGTCTCACCAATCCAATTTCTAAAAACTAGAATAGAAACCACAGCTAACAATCTTCCCATTCCTTCCACAAAGCTATTGAATGTGAATTCCAAATGATGCAAGGATTTATCTGGTACTTGGTCACAGAAGTATTCTCCTAACATTTCTTTAACCATTTGTTTCATAATTCCTAACAAGATAAACTGTAGAGTGAAGGTGAATGAGCCTTCTGATTTTCTTTTAGCCTGAACATGCCAAGTGTCAATGCAGAGCAAAAAACAAACCAACATCCCGAAAATAATATTCGCTAGCCTAATGCGTTGTTGTACCTGTTGGTTTACCTTGCTGCAAAACTTTGTGATTACATAACCAATTAAACGCGATATTATGATTCCAGAAAATTTCTCTATTATATACAAATAAGCTTCATAATCAAAGAAGGCGCTACCTGCTGCATCAACAACATAATATATAAGGAAAGGTGCCCACAGAGGTAGATATTTCAGAAGCGGCCTTAATTCATGCTTTTGCCCTTTATGATCTCCTAAAGATACCTTATAACATATGCTGTAAGAATAGCAAAATATGCTGCCAATTCCCACAAAAATTGCTGGAATATAGAGCTGTTTACTTTTTGAAGAATCTGATAACAGCACCCCGCCTAAAACGGCCCCTGCAAATCTTGCAATAAACGTCCAAGCATCTATGCGATTATTTGTTTTATTCGCATCATCTATACCCTGTTCCAATTGATTAACTGCCAGTTGATTTATACCCTGTTTCGATTGATTAACTGCCAGTTGATCTATAACCTGTTCCGATTGATCAACTGCCAATTGATCTATAACCAGTACCGATTGATCAACTGCCAGTTGATCTATAACCTGTTCCGATTGATTAACTGTTAGTTGATCACTGAGAAACTCCTTCATATATTGTTCTGCCGACATGTCCACTGATAAGAGTGCCAGTCCCCAGTAAAAAATTCCATCAATTGAAGACATATGAAACAGCAGTATCAGCATACCCTAACACAAAAATGGTTAACATGTTACAATGACATGCATATTGAAACACTTCTTAATAACCAAAATTTCAAGAAGTTCCAATTAATTTGAAATTAATATTTATGATTTAATGTGAATAAAATATTTAATCTAATTGTTAATTTTTAAAAATATTAATTAAGATTGTTTTTAAACCTTTAAAAAAAATAAGGTTTTAAGTATTTAAAAAAATTTAAGAGGACAACTATACTAACATCTTTTATGTATATATTAAAATTAAATAGATTTTTAATTACAACTTTTAATAAGTTTGAAATATAGTTCTATTAATTAATTAAGCGGAGGGATTATATATATGATTCCACAAGAAAAATGAACTTACAGCGATGAAAATTGCATGATTGACCAGAATCATTATGAGTGGACGTATGCGTTGATGCGTTGTGTATGCTAGGAAACTGGCCAAAAATGCTGAAAAGCAATCTCTGGCAGTTGAAACCACTGCTTCATACCACAGGCTGGCCCCTTTCGACTTGTATTGGATAAATACAATCAAGAAACCTAAAAATGAATATTCGGCCAAGGCATTACCGAAAACCAAACCTGCACTACGCAATATATTGTTTGAGATGAGGGTTAGTTGATCCCCTTAATTATAACCACACACGCACAAAAAAAAAAAAAAATCAGTTTCGCCTCTTTTAATTGAGCTTCACTTAATTGTAACTCGAATTTTAAACTAAGTAAGAGTACCTGATAAGAAAAAACTAGCCTTGGAGAAGCGGAGGAATCTCCTCGGGAGCCCACACAAGTAGCTTTTAAGCTTTGCTATTTGGAAAGCCATCGAGTCGCAGTACTTGTATGTATATATATTACAAATATATATGACACAAACTCGAAGCCGCTTTTGTTTGGAAACTGCCGCCGGATTGTATACTGACAAAGGGCAATTTGAAGAAGGGAGGTATTCTTAATGATATCCAGCCGGCCGCCTCGTACGTCCAAGTGCGTATTTTGCAGGAAGAGAAGAAGAAGAAGAAGAAGAGACTCGAATTATCCGAAATGCTTTGGTACAAAGATTCATGGAAAAAAGTGCTATCTGCTATGACTAGGGGGATTTAGCCGTCCACAATTCCTGCCAAGGAAGCTTTTTTAAACACGAAGGTTTGTCTTTAACAGGAAATTAAGACGACTGCGTTTTGGATACTGATGTGGTTGGTGCCTTCATAGTCCATATTTAGTCATGGACTCATGGAGCATAACTTTCAGCATCCAGAGACGAAAATGCATGGTGAGAATGTTTTTGTGCTTTCGCAGATTGGGCTATAGCCGGAGCAAAGATTGAGGGAGCCAGATTTTCATTTTTTTTCTTGACTAAGGTGCACACCCCAGACTGATCAAGTGATTAATTAATATTAACACCCTGATCTGTGTTAAAAAAAAAATACTTGCCATTAATACATCCTATTCTGTCAGTCCAATTAAATTGTAAGTCTTCATTGCCTATCTTCAGAATAAATAAATAAATTGTTAGTGCACCTGTAACGTCAATGATACGTGGTCTTTTAACTTCAGTTCAAAATATGTATATATATTTATATGTATATATATACGTGCCCAATTCTCTCTCCCCAGTTCGGCCACGCATATTGTTAATATCTGCATATCATTGCAAAAAAAGCAAGCACACTCGAAGGACAAGACAACACCTTTCTAAAAAGTAAAGAGTTAA